GGTTTATCAATGGGTCCATGTATCCGGCGGTTTCAATTAAAACACGCTTTGCTTTCAAGTGAGGGAATATAAAATAGCTTCTTTAATAAAGAGAGACGGAAGAAAGCAAAAATGGTTTCAATTGAATAATATGCTGATACACGGACCTAATGAAAAACAAATAAAATAAAACAAATTTGGCGTAATATCTTTCGTTATGTCAAATAGAAACCATGTTTACGAATAAAATTAGAACAATTTGATATTAGAGAATTGTGTAGCGAATATTTACAATAGAAATATTGATATATCATAACTTACAGTAACTTAACATAAGTAAAAGAGGTGTCGAGCATGGAATGGTCTTAATTTCGAGTCCATACTATAGCTTTAGTTGAAAGTCTGTCTGTCTGATGACTTTTATTCAATGTTACATAGTAAAGGTTAAAGGTTAAGGTCAACATTAATATTGATGATTGTTTGGGTTCCCATCTTTAAATATTTAATCAAATGAAAAAAAAATAGATAATAATAATTAAATTTTCTATTATTCCCTAGCTTTGATACGAATTAAAAGTCAATCCGATTAAATTTTAGCGCAATAAAATGGGTGTAACATAAAAAAACTAATCTACTAACGTAACAAAACAAAGTTTTGCTTCCTTGTTTAATTCGTCTAAAGTTATCATTTGATGATTACTAAAGTAAGATGGTTTCTGCAGAATAATCACAAGACAAATTGCTTACAGCACAACACTTACGGACCGTTTCCCGACAGGTCATTTTCCCGTCAGCCTAACGCTGGCCGTTCGATCACGTGTTCGTGCATAACTCTGCATAACTCTGGCAAAACTTATGTCTTGTCGGGAAATCATCTGTCGGAACACAATGGCGTTCAATAAATAAATAATTAATTTATTAAAAGGCCGAATTAATTTTATAAAAAAAGTTTGTTGGAATACACTCTTTAAATTCCATTTAATGCTAATTCATTATAGATTAGTTGACTCCTTTTTCCTTAGCTGTTAAATCTTTACGTTTACAAGCACAGATTTAAATAAGTAATATAAACAATTATGGTTTAATGTTAACGCTAAGGTGTTATGTAATAATTATGTAATTTCCCTCACAATCAGAATTAATCAACATTATTTTATTTAAATCATTAACGAATGAAGTTTCTTTTATCTCATCTATAATTAGACCGAGAAATCTAGCTTATTTAATACGTTATAATTTTTAGCCCTCATGTAAATCTATTCCGATTAGTCCATTTATGAGCATAATGGTTTTAATAGGACCAGTTCCCTGAATAAAAAAATATGAAGTTGTGACAATCCTCTGAATAGAAGAAATAAAAATTTGACCAGTTCTCTAAGTATAGTTCTCTAAGTATAACGGTAAATTATTTACCCATTTACTATTCTAGCTTATATTAAAATGATCGTCACCCTTAATGGTTTTCGAAATGAATACTAATGTATAACATAACCTGTTGATTTACTCCCGTTTTTTTTCTTTATGTAAATCAGTCCTCTACTGTATTTATACCCGTATGTAAAAATACACCGAAATTTTTCTTCGGTCTTAGCTATGAAAAAATAAATTTATCATTCTCTATCTGATCAATCCACTAAATGATTCACACTTATTCATCTATTATAGAATTTCCGCTGGTCCAATTACGGAAACTTTCTCTTGAAATTGTAGTATTGCAAGTTTTGTATCATTCTGCCACAGTTCCTTGTCTGATAACATTGCGAGACTCATTGCATAAAAACATTCTCTCTCTCGCTCTCTCACTTGAATGTCAGGTTACAAAACTTGATTAATACTACAAAAATATTTGATATCAACAAAAGTACCTCAATAATTTTACGTGAATATTATCAGCTAGCACGTTGCTCTTCTCTCTCCTAAATACTTTCTTTTCAAAAAAAAATCGGTACACACTTTCTCTATCTCAAAAGATTATATGACTATAGTCACAATAGCACGTAATTCAAATTACGAACTTTAACTACGATTCCATGGCACTACCATGTATTCTTGTACAATTTCTTAATAAATAATACAAGCGTACAAACAATTTCCTCCAATAAACACCGTTATCACGCTAACTAGTGCTATATTCTACAACCTAAAAAGATAGAATCTGAATTAAGAAGCCGCGAAGTATGTAAATAATGGCAACTATACGATATCACCATAGCAAATTTATGGTAAAATATCTTTTTTGTTCTAGGTATCTAAATTGTGACAACAAATTGTGGCAGCATGGTGCATAAATTGCGATACTGCAATTTCGAAAAGAAATAATTCCAAAGTTGGACTAGTAAAAATTCTATAATAGATGAATTCATTATTGAATATCTTGAGTGTATTGATTTTGAGAAAGAGATGAATTTTATAGAAGGTTCAAGGTAAAACTGGATAAGGAAAGCCGAAGTAAGGATGTGTAACATTACTCACGCTTAATGTCTATTCACAAACAACATTCCTTTTAAAATTATTAGTAAAATCAATGGTTGGAAGGGGCTATTAATTATATAATTCTTACACACCTACCTTTAAATTCATTCCATTTCTTACACGAAATCTACTCTAAATGATTTTTTAGATAATATTTTTTGTTCATATTGTTTATTATTCCCTAATCGATTTTCAAATTAAGAATGTGTAATTAGCTTATTATTTTTAATAAATTTGTTTTAAACTCAAAAATCTAATAACTTACAAATTTCAATTACTGACCCTTAGTTATTTCCAAATAGTCATACAAAACGACCATGTTCATAACCATGATTTATTTAGATATATTGATAATATCCTGCTTATAGTTATATGATTTTATCATATAATGATTAACGCAAACTGCAAGATTTCAAATCAGCTGTAAACCAGCGTTGATACTGTATTTGTTCATTAGAAGCCCTATAAAAAAAAATTCCGAAAAAAACTCCGATAAATGATCATTTTTGGCGCCAAAAATGATCATTTATCGGAGTTTTTTTCGGAATTTTTTTTTATGGGGGGAAGGAAGTAATGAAGAAAGTAAGGGAGAGGCGAAAGGGAGGAAGCGAAGAGGGAGAGGAAAGAAGAGTGAGAGAGATGGAGTCGTTATATGCACAACATGATAGATATATTACAATTAGGTTTAAAATTCTCATGTACAGAAATTGGTTCTTTTTTATCATACTCGAGATTTTTATAGTATATATCGGATAATAATAATACTATAACAATGGCATATTTTCATTATCAGACCACATATTTAATATGTCTATAGTTTATATACTGGTTAAAGATAGTGGCATGTTCCTGTAGTCAGGCCATTAGTCCAGGTGGGCAAATGGGATCATCTTATCACAATAGTGTTTATGGTAGGTAATACAGAAAGGGTGAGACAAAAAGAGATCAGACCACCAAGTCGCTGAGGTAAACGCAGACATCCCACCTTTCCGAGGGATATCTATACTAATTAAACAATCATGGATTATCATCTTTATTATTTTTAAAAATACTTTTCCGTTTTTTTTCACATACTATACAAGAAGATCGCCAAACTTTTTTGGGATTTATATAAGTATGGATAAATATAATTTTAACAGCCAAGATATATTTAACCTAACAGGAAGATAAGCAAAAAAGATGAATTTTTACTTTTATTTCTAGATGTAACCTTGCAAATAAAAAACGTGTTTTAACATTTTTGATTATATATTTGTGCCATCATTTGAGAACTATTAAGAAAGACAAACACCTCTCAAGTTGGCGTCCTGCGTCTCGAATCTTTATTATTATGATATACAACAATAATTTTTAACGAGAAGTTCTTTACTAAATAAAAAATCCCTGAAAGGTTTCATCAGTTTTTCTAGAAAAAAAAATGATCCACTATTGACGTTGCTCGTTTCCAGCAGGAATATACGATTAAAAATTATTTTTTTTGAAAATAATGATCTAGAAATCTCCTTTTCTTGATAATCTAGATTTTAACCTTCCTACATTCCTGAAAAGCGCACATATATTTTGTTGATTATATTTAGTATTTTAATTCTTACAGTCAAACTCCGATATAACAATATGTTGAGATCCGTATGAAAATCTTCGAAAATATTTTTGTGTCAAAATTATACCGATATTTATACTATTTTGCGCCTTAGTTTCAAATTATTTGATCGTGATAATCGCTTAATTTTTTAAGGGGAATTGCTCATAACATTCCTTTGTAATTACAATTAATAAAGAAGATTTTACTACTTTAAAAAAATTGTAGGCATATTTACTTTCAAATTGCAATAATAAAATTAATTTAATCAATAAATAACATCCAATTTTATAATAGTTGTTTCGTACGATAAATAATTATTACTTATTCGATGAAAACTCTTTTGTTTTTTATTGATTAGAAAACGATAAATACAAAATATAAAAATGAATATTTATACGTTACATGCACTGTACGCCATACTTGATTTCAGCCGAATGTCGTAATGGTGACATGAATAGGATTTTTCTACTAAAAAACTATACTTATGTATGACACCGCTGATGAAGAAATCACGTGAATTTCGGGACATTTTTTCGGGAAAGTCGGTGTGAGGCTCAGATAGTTGATGAATATAAATTTTCGCAAGTCGAGTAATTTCTATATCAATAAAATATCATTTCTGTCAGTTCTGTGTGAAGTTAGGTAATTTTTCATATCGGTTAAATGGAAGTCAGCAAAATGGTGTCGGTTAATTTCATGTCAATGAAATGGCTGTCTTTAAATCGTACCGTAACCATTAAAAAAAAATACGATCAAAATTATATCATTTACATGGGTCTTGGTCATTTCACCGACAGTCATTTCACCGACGGTTTTGAAATCCTAATTCGCTTATCCTAACCCTAATCCTAACCCTAATTTCCTTACCTAACCCCAACCCTAACTCTAATCCTAAATTCCCTATCAATGAGATCAAAACATTTGTCTGCGAAATGACCCTGTCGGTGATGAGATAATTGTCGGTGAAATGACTGTCAGTGAATGGATGCGACCCAGGATAGCCATGCAAAAAATTAAAAATGTTAGCAATGAAAATACAAATACAAAAGAAATAGATGAATATCATAGAAGTGACTCAATGTCAATGCATGGATAGTACAACTTCGAGATCAAATTCAAAATATGAGATTGATATCACTTGATACTATTAAATTAAAAATAATAGATTAAATTCATTTAATTCATTTTACGTTTCAAAAAAAACCTGTTTTAAAACAAATATTTGTTTATGTTATCGGAAATCGATTGTGATGATCACGTTTGATTGGCGTTACACGAATGAAACAAAAAAAAAAAAAAAGAACTTTCTGTTAGAATATTTACACTATTTGTATATATGTGACCTGTTTCTTTTCTGGAATGAATTACATAACAAAACTTTAATTACTTATGCTTATAAAGCACTTCAATTTTTTTTTTTTAAAAAAAAAATAAAATAAAAACAAAATTATATGGATTTTGGAGATCAGTCTAGCTCATTAGATTCATTAAATCTCAATTATACGGCAACTGTTCAGATTGCAAACAACAACGAACTGCGGCAGCATGGTGTAAAACTTACGATATTGCAATTTTGAAAGAAAATTTACGCAATTGGACCAGCGGAAATCCTAGTACAGATAATTATACTTAATTAACTACCAATGAGGATATGGATTATCTCGAATGGATTGATTTCAATCAATTTAAATACCAATAAAAGAGGCGCTTTCAGCTCAATATATTCTGCCATATGGATGGAAGGTCCAAGGTGGAATCTGGATGAGGAAGCTGAAGTATGGTCACGTAATGGTCCGAATTAAGGTTATATTGAAACGTTTATAATATGAGTCTTTATAAATCAAGTTAGTATTCAATCGTTACACAGTCTTTTTATTAGTTAATTTATCCGAAAGTATTTAATGAAATATGTCCTCATTTTTTTTTATCTAACAAATTTTCTTTTTTTTGAAAAAAAAGGTTACGCAAATATCATAAATGTTTACAAAGTGGAGCACTAGCAGATTGCTTTGGTATAACCAAAGACCCAACGTCATGTTATATGTTCGTTCTAAGGTATTAAAATGGAAATTTGTACTCATATCTTGAAGAATCTTTGGGGATTATTTGCTGGAGAGATATTGTGGATATGTTGTGGTGGGTCTTATTACCATTCATAAACTAGGTCTTGTTCATGGTCATTTGCATGGAGGTAATATACTAGTTGAAAATGAAATGGGTTCAGTTGGTGCTAAAATCACCGATACTGGACTTCAAATCAGTGTCATCTCAGCAAACTTATGGCGTAATACCTTTTGTTGCTCCAGAAATATTGGATGGGAATAGTACACCAACCAAAGAATCTGATATGGCTTTGGTGATCATGTGGATGTATCAGCTGCTACTTGTGTTTATTACGATATCCTCATGAAACAACTTATTCAAGAAATCTACATAAGGCTAAGACCAAATGTTGTTAGTGGAACTCCATCTGCTTGTTCTGGATTAATATTACAATGTTAAGATACCAATCCATCAAATAGACCAACAGCATCTCAACTTTGATTGCTTCGGAAACTGGTATCTCAGAAATTTATGATAACCCTGATCCATCCGATTTATCTAAACAATTTGATGCTGTGAAGAAATTTAGATTTTAAATTTTTAATATTTTAGAATGTCATGAAACGAACATTTATTTCAATTTTTCTATGATGTAAAAGTAAGGACACTTAACGTCAAATGTTAAAATAGTTAGCAATATTAATATTAGACATTCAGTTTTGCTATTTGGGCAAGAAAAATTAAAAGCATACTTCGTCAGGAATTGTTTATTTTTTTCGTTAAATAACATTAATATTTCTCGTTGGGTTTTTTTTTACATAGTTTCGAAACAGAAAGTTGGGATGCTATTGATCTATTTGATGGATTAGCATCTAAACATTGTAATATTATTTCTAACTAAAAGAAATCACTTGGCCTTAAACCTAAATAAATTTCTTAAATATTGCATACTAACCTTTACTGGGTATCGGAAATTTTCACCGAAATCCATTTCACCGAAGCCATTTCGCCGAAGGGATGTTTCTCCGAAGAGATATTTCGTCGAAGTGACGTCCATTTCGTCGAAGCCATTTTCCTGAATGGACATTTCGTCATTTTGCCGAAAAATTATTTATCCAATTCGGTTATTTTATTGTTTTTACACTAAATACATTAAGAAATCTTTTCTAGAAAAATTTTTGAATTAGATATTTTTATTAAATTTATCTCGTTTACAATACATTAATCTTTTTCTCGTGAATAAATGTTTTCAGAGGATAAAGTTATTTATTTATTGCTTAACAATTAATATCAGTTACTTGAATGTTAAAGTGATAATATTCTGGAAAAAAGAAAGATCTCTAAAAATATTTTCATTGCGCGATGAATATTTTTTATAAAAATGTTAATCACTACCATTTTCAGCGAAATGTCCCGACGAAATGGACGATTCGGTGAAATCCGATAAAATGCATTTTCGACGAAACATCCCTTTGGTGAAACATCCCTTCGGCGAAATGGCTTCGGCGAAATGGATTTTAGCGAAATGTACCGTAACCGATGATACAACGCGTTTTAGGCATTTCATCATTTTTAAACTTTAAAAGCTCACAATTTCATTAGTTCCATATTAAAATAAATTAAATTTTAGTCATTTAATTATAAAAATAGATCTTTTTTTTCCTCATCGTAGAACATCCTATAAGTAAGGAATTGTTGCCAAAGAACTTAGGTGGGACGAATAGTTGTGGAGTCCGTTAGAGGTGTTGAGTGCTAAAAAGGTGTTGATTACGTTACGCTAATAATACATTGTACTCAATAGTGCGTATGTAAACCTTTTAAGTATGCGGAGTACGTAATATAAGAATTTTATTATTTAGCTTGTTAAATTAAAAATTAAAAAGAGTTGTATGCAATTACAATCCAATTATAATTTCAATTTTTTTTTATTATGTTATATTTTATATTCAAAATATTCCATTCATACATCTTCGCAAGTTAGTATTCGCCGTAGACATTAAAAACGTGAAGAAAAAAGAAAAAGCAAAATATTCAGCCCAATAATTTAAAGAACAATTTAAAGAACGAAGTAACGCATTTCAAGCTTTAATAAACATAAGGTATTATTACAATTTATAATTATAGTGTATTATTAACAATTCAATTATAGTAGTATTCGGCATACAGTCGTACAGTACAATAGTTTTTTGTTATATATTACATAATAATAGGTTCGCAAATTACATTTTTGTAATACTTCACATGACTGTACTCCACTCATTTGACCAACCGGACTCCACAACTTTCTGTATTATTCAAAGAACTTTAGGTTAATTACTAATATTAATAAAGAAAAAACAAAATTTTTCCTTGGTCGTCACTATTTGTTACTGAAAGTAAATCGCAAAAACAATTTTTTTTTATAAATTAATATACAGTATGATCCTTTTACTAAAGGAATTTTTCGGGAGGAAATTATTGGCATGATAACGGATTGTCCGTTGATCTGTTAACGAAAAGGTAATAATTGGTAAGTGAAGAGGAGAAATATCGAGGAGTTCTAGTCAGGGGGTTAAGCCTCCTAAAAATAATTTCAGGGACCGAAGATCCGTAATTTAATGGAAGATCATTAATGTTGATAATCTATCAAATTTATGGCGTAATGCCCCCCAGTGTTAGTGCATATGATATTTATAAACCTAATGATAAGTAGGCTAATGTTACATTTTAGATGCTTTAATCCATCAAATTCCACCACGAGCATGGTAAAATTCTTGTGATTGGTTAATATAACTAATATTACAACATTTCATTGACGTTTATGTGGCGTAACTCAATACGTTTACTGATCATATCTTTTATTCTTATCGAACGATCCGTGAAACTTTAGTATCTTTAGTATATAAAGTCTTTGCGGTATCTTATATTTAGGTACTTTACTAATAAAAGCTCAAAAAAATAAAGAATTGTCAAAATCTTAATGAATAAGATAATACAAAATAAGAATAAATAATAACACGCTACGCAACTTTATTTTTTTCTCCTTTCTCGCATTATACTAGCAATCTTGCACACCTCTTTTTTAAAAAGCTTTGATTAATACCATGACTTTATAATCTTATAAAATACTTTTTTCCCATTACGAAGATACATGGTCAGCTGACTTTTTTTTGTTGCAAATATATCAAACGTTTATCACAAACAATGATCTATTTTTCATCTTTTATTTTAATTTATTTATTTTCAATGTTTGATTATAATTTGAACAAATAGGAGTGTGAGACGAAATTAAGTGCATGATACTGCTGCGCCAATTTCGTCGGTCATTGCCGGACAATAATCGGCAAATACCGGATATCACATGCATATGGGTAAATATAAGATCTATTTTATTATCCGACTATTGGTCACGCTGATAAATTTTTAATTAGAATAGATCAGATATGTGCGTTATTTAAATGCGATATAAACTTTTTATAAAATGTTACATGATCGTCCCCTACTTTTTTGAAAATTTGTTTTTGTAGTATCACGACTCGTGACTCGTGTGAACAAAATAATGTGATTTTGTGTACGGAAAATTCCTCATAAATACGTCCATTGTATCTATTAAACTGCCAAACAAAAAAAAATCTAACAATCTTGTTACGCGCCAGTTTAAATTATTATAATAATAATTTTCACTCAATATGTTTAATATGTTTGAAAGAAAAATTGTTGCTGAACAAACGGGAAATACCCTTTTTAAAAATGCTATTGGAGAAATAGAAACCGATTTAAATAATGTAAATTTACAAAGTAAAGCTCATGAAATTTTAGAAGAAAATTGGAAGCAAGAGTTTGAGAATAAATTCAAGAATAACCCATATTATAGTTACCATTTTCCGAATGACGATATCATTAAGAAAAAACCATTAGTCAAATTAATTACAGACTATAGAAAACACCACGGGATGATAACGATTCAGGAAGCAAGAACTATTGCCATTAAAGAAATTAATGATTGTTTAAATGGTCAAGACTCAATGGAACTAAATTATCTTAGTCCAATAGTGGAAATTACAAATAACGAATTAGAAAGAAGTAATCAAACTTGGGAGAAACAAATTGAACAAGCTACCAATATAAACGAAATTGACCAAATTAAAGATCGAGTAATAGCCAATATTAATAAAATAGGTTTCAGTAAAAGAAAACAACTTCAAATAATGGATTATTCTTACGGAGATTTAATAAAACGAAGGCAATGCTTTACGTATGATGACATTTATTACGTATGTTATAATCATTTTTTCAATTAGATGTATTATTATTTGTACTTATATGATATTAACACTTAAAATGAATCTCAATTATATGTCTAGATTGCAAGCGACAGCAAACTAATGCAAAAAATGCGATATTGCAATTTTAAGAGAAATTGGACCGGCGGAAATTCTATAAATAGACTTCAATTCAACTCGATTTAATTGAACTTGGAGGATCTAATATTAATGATTTTTTTGATTTTTTTTTATAAAAAAAACATTTCTTATCTTATTAAGTAATTCAACTTGATTTTCTTATGTAAATACCAACTATATAATTATCATAATATGCAATATTTATTTATGTACTATATATTATTCTGTTAGTCATTTATTGTTGAATAAATAGGTTAAATTTATAACTAGTAATCAAATAGGTAAATGAGATTTAATGGAATTTTTAACAAACCTTTGAGAATTAATCTAAACTTTTATTCTAAGGAAAATGAGAATTTAATGAACAATTATATTGCTTTAATTTAATTTAGATTCGCAACAAAATGTAAAAGCTCAATAACTTAAAATTTTTATTTTACCCTCTTTACTTGTTAAAAATTTGTCGAAAAAGGTCAAATGTTTAAAATGTACATTCACCGTTTCGATTATCACTTTTCGCTTTCACTTCTCTTCTTTTCATCTCTCAGTCCTTTCGTCTTTCTTGTTTATCCCGCTTCCCATAAAATTATGGTAAGTTATTAATTATACGTTATACAAAATTTCGTTTATCCGTAAAATGACGTACGTGATGAAGGACAGTTAAAAAATCACTTTTATAATAAAAGTGAACCGTATCTGCTGGCAAATGGGGAAGTTAAATTTAGTGACAATAGGATTAGGCAACTTCTACTATAAGCGCTCTTATTTGTGCTATCCTTATATATTTATTTATTTATTTATTCATATTTATTTTTATGTCATACTTATTTAGGGTTGGAATTTGGAAAACGATATATAATAAAATTTAACAGAAAATAGTACTTATTTGTCCTGTGGCTATATTTCCATGAATTATTTTGCCCACCCCTTTTCATCAACACATAATTTATTTAATTTAGGCAAAAATTTAAAGGTGAAAGTTTTTATCCGGATATTGTAACTATGCTAAACAGAGAATTGACTTGGAGCGGCCAAACAGTCATGACAAAATCATATTCTTTAGTCAATATTAGTATTTCACTTCATACCATACGGCATGTTTGTAACGGAGCATAATACATAATTATCGGGCGAGAGATCAATTGAAAAACTTTGCCTACCGTATAAACAAAATAATTTGATAAAAAATATCATATTTAATTCATCTAAGATTGTGAATCGATATGAAAAATTATTTTCTATTTTTTTCTTAATTTTGTAGGAGATATTTTAGAGTCTTGAAAGAAGTCCTATAAAAAATTTTTCAGAAAAATGATCACATGTCTGAGTTTCTTCGGAATAAAAACTAAGAAAAATGATCATTTATCGGAGTTTTTCCAGATTTTTTTATAGGGTGTGGTGACGATATTAACGTTAATGGATTTTATCGTCAGATTATAATACACGGATATCCGTATTCATTCGCGGATGTCGGATATCTACACTATATATATCCTTTATTCTTATCGTTCTCTGTTTTTTCTTTGTATTGTGTAGAATTCGTAGATATGTAACTATACAATAAATATTCTATCATGGAATAATTAATTAGACATACAGTATCAACAATTTTTATATTTATATAATAAATATAATGGTGTAGTTAGCCGAAAAACGGAGCCGAATTCCTGATTGCCGATCATCCGGACCCGGTTTAATCGCAGAAAATCCCCTGGAATTCCACGACGATCTACGTCTGAGCCGGGTCCGGATCACGTTGCGGCTAATTATTTTTGCCATTATACAAATAAATACTAAATAAAAACTATATACAATAAATATTATACTATAAAATCAATCGAATACATTTCACGTAATATTGGATAAAAAATATATATGTATACAAAAATGGTTTGATTGGTACTCACCGAAAACCTGTGAATAGATGAAGGGCCCGTTTGCATCTTCAGTTTCTTTTCTTTGCAATAATAAAATATAATCTCTGCGCCACATCAGATCATAACATACGAAAATTTTCGATTAAAAAATTAGGATAATTCTTAAAAAGTTTTTTATCAATTTTCATAACGTTTTATTATAAACGTATGTATAATCCTAGTAGACATATACTTACCCTATAAAAAAATTCTGGAAAAAACTCCGATAAATGATCATTTTTCTAGTTTTTTATTCCGAAGAAACTCAGGCACGTGATCAATTTTCTGAAAATTTTTTAATCCATTTGCGCGCAAAAATTTGTTTTTTTTAACGCCATTCCTATGACTACCTTACAAAAATGTCACGAAACGGCCGGCATTAAGAAATTAAAAAATTAACTATGTGACAAATAATGTGTGACAAATAGGATTCACACCTCGAAAAAATTATAAAAAATGGAAACAAGGAAGGGTGTGACGCATGTGTCAAAAACAGTCACGTGATTTTTTCGTGACATTTTTGTAGGGTACGCAGTAAATCCCATCCTATGCACTGCGCCACTAGCTGGATATCAAATATTAGTAATCCCTTTTTCGGAAAATGTTTTTATTATTGTTAAAAAAAAGTTACATAACCTACATTTTTTTAATAACATTTTTTTAACAACATTTTTAATATGATGAATTTAAATCTAGTTATTTAAATTAAGAATATACAGTAATTAGTTGAATTATATTTTTTTTAAAAAAAAAAAAAAAAAAAAATTCATTGCAGCAAAGATAGTATTAATATTTTACGATAACCTTGATTTAAAACCAACTTAGGCATTTTACCAACTTTGATAAAAAACTGGTTATGATAAAATTAGCTATTGCGTACTAATTTCGCGGAATTTGGTTAAATTTATAAAGTAGGCTTATTTTTGTATTCGATTATCACATGATTTTGCTTAAATATGGAAACTATCAAGGCAAATCGTTAGTAAATGAAAAAAAGTATAAATATGGTAATTCACGGAAGTATCTGGTTTTCTTCCGAACGACATTCTCTTTTTCCTTTTTCTCTTTTCAATTTTTTACTTATTTATTTGCCTTATAAAATTTAATAATAAAAGAAATTTTCACAAAATATTATAATGAAATCGAGTGTACCAGTGGAAATTTTACAAAATATTTTCGAAAATTATAAGGATGATATTAAAACTTTACATTCTATTTTACTTGTTAGTCGATATTGGGCAAGAATAGTTGTCGTGATTCTTTGGAGATATTCATTAGAGTTTGCAAGAACGTTTACTTCAAACTGTGTATCCAAGAAATTATTGGATGTATATCGTAGATACATTAATTCCGAAGAACTTCTCTTTGATTATCCATCATTTTTAAAAAGGTTAGATTGGAAATATCTTAAGTATGAACATGATGGGAAACAAATATTTCAAATGCTTTTACAAAAAAGTAAATATTTATCATATTTAACGATCGATTTATATAATGAAAATATTGGTATTTATGAGAATTTTGATATAATTTTAAACGAAGAAATCTTAAATAATATATCCTTAAAAAAAATCAAATTCTTAGAAATTAGTGATTTAATTCCTGAAAATCTTACAATACTTTCAAAAATTTGTGATGGTATTGAAACTCTTATCATTGAATGTGTTAGACAGAATCAAAAAGAAATTTCTAAATTATTACAAATTCAACATAATTTAAAAAATCTGATTATCACAAATTCTTTTCCATCATTTGATAAACCACTATTAAAACATTATCCTCTTTCGTTAACAAATATAAAATTTGTTAATAGAAATGATAATTATACTATTCATTCTTTAGATATTTTGCAAGCTTGTACAAGATTAGAAAATTTGGAATTTTACAAATGGGATATTTATCCGGAAGAATGTCAAGAACTATCGAAGATTCATTTTCAAAATCTCAAATCCTTAAAATTTGAGTATTCGGTACTTCCTTTTACGGTTCTAAAAGGAATTATTGAAGTAAATGGATCTAACTTGGAGAAATTATGGTTTATATATGAAAATTATGAAGAGACTGAGTTGGAATCATTATCAATAACTATAAATCAATCTTGTAGACAATTATCATCTTTAACATTACAAATCTATCAAGACAACACTCGTAAATACCGAAATTTTATTGTACATCTTGAAGGAATTTTACAAAGATTAAAATATTTTACATTTAAAGAGCATATATTCGAATCACCAATTAATATAGCTAATGTTTTAATTATAGTGAAAAGATTTATATAGAATATTATATTTTTTCTAATTAGTTAATTTAGTAATTAGCGTAATATTTTAGTAGTCAAATTACCAATTGTTCCAATTGTTTGTTTATTAATTCCGATCTACCAATAGCCCAATGCGCAATGCACGACATGTTCATGATGATCAAATCTCGGGGTTTTTTTTTTAATTTATTCCGTATTACTCAAATCGAGAGTTTTATTAACAATCTTCTTTAATTAATAGATTTTGTGCAATAATTGTAGTAAATAATATGAGAAAATCATATACGAATGAGTATACGCACAAGGTTTTACTTTGATATTATAAGTAATGAGAAAAAAAAAGAATTCAAATTATTATTATTTTTACAACTTGAAACTTGAAAGTTTGGAATGACAAAAATATTTTTAGATTTAGGTAAAACTATAAATAATTTTTATTCTGACCTTTAAATATTTTCATTATACAGAAGATCATAGAATATTATCTAGTATCAAATAAATATATTTTTTTTTTTAAAAAAAAAAAACCAAAAAAGAAAATATAAAAAAAAATAAGTGAGTCAGAATTAATAATTAATGACATATGATATAATAAATAAAATTGTTTGAGAATCGGAAATATTTAAATTAAATTGTAAGAAAAATTCACCAATTAATATATCATAGCATATCATACTAATTTTAGATTTTCCGTCCTAAAAATTTATTATTTATGTATAAAAAAAAAAAAATTAGAAATTAATCGAACAAAAAAAAGTACAAATATTGTTTATAGATTGTTTTGATCATTTGACAATTTATTTGATTGATTGATAAAATGTAAAAATCAAAATTGTTTGCTTGTTATACAAATGTCTTACAAACCGATTTATAATTATGACAATGAGTTTTCATATTAAAGTTCTTAAAGTACAGTACGTTGAATTTATCTTTATGGTCAATTACTTTCGTAGTACTACAATTTTTAATTTATCCCCGGGATGAGCGCGGATAATCCGAAAAAATCAAAATTATCAAGAACGATTTACGAACGAGATTTTCGTGCAATGAAAGACAACTACCCTTCCTAAGATGTAAGGTTTGCTTTATTTATTACTTTAATTATTATAGTGTTACAAGAAGGTACGGTCGGTTATAAGGATCAATTATATATACATAATAAATTTATGGGTTCTTTATCAATAAATAATTATGCATTAAAATGTGATATTAAACAAGCAATCAAATTTGAAACTAAAATAAATAAATACTCGAAATTTTAGACGTCCTCTTAAAAGTTTTAGCATATTTCATTGATTCAAATAAATATAAACTCCCCCTTCATTTTTTTTTCATTTTTTTAAAATATAAGGCTTTTTATGTAACATAACATTAAAACGAAGAAACGAAGTTTTTTTTAACAAATTAAAAAAAAAAAAAAAAAAATTTTTTATAATGCCAAAATATTCACCTATCATAATATTTTACATTATATTGCAATTAATAAGTTTATTATTATTAACCATATTAATCTTTTTATTGTTTAAATCAAAATCTCATTTTGCAAAGTGGACTTTGTTTCAACTTTTTATTTCTGCATTTGGTAATGGATTTTCTGCCTTACCACCAATAATTATGTATGGTAATGAATTAGTTGATCGGGCATTTGATTCTCCACTTTGTATTATATCAAATAAAATTTCAAATAATACAATATATCCTTTAGAATTATTTTCCTTAGTAATAACATTTTATTTGTGGCACGTGTTAGTTACACATAGACTCGATATCGAAAAAAAATGTTTTTGGTACGTTTCTGGTGCGATTTGGTTATACACTATTATTTTCAATATTATTGAGATATCTCGTTCAAGTAAACAAAAAAATTGGGGAGTTAAAGTTTCTCCTTTAAATTGTAAGGCAACTGATTGGTCAATTAATTTGGTTAGTTTTTATGCTTATGTAATACCAACTTCAATGATAACTTTTATCGTGGCGATCATGACATGTAAGAATTGATCTAGTCATATTTTTTTTTGCAGAAAAAAACGTAATTTTAATTTATTATTCTTCTCATGTTTAGGTCATTCTTCGGTTATACTATACAGACGTTGGAAAAATTTTAATAATAATATGAATAGAACAACCGCGATTAGATTGGGACACGCAGTACGCTTACAAATTTGCTGTGTGACGATCACAGCTATGTTTTCACTCAATCTTATTCCAAGAATCGTGTTCTTTAATAAAAATGTTGATTCTCCAATAATAACATTTGGCTCTTTTACTATAGCATCGGCGTAAGTAAAAAAAATTTTATTATAATGCACAACTTTTATTTAAATTTATTTTAATACATAAATAATTTTCTTTTTTTTTTTTTTTCAATAGTGGAATAATATTGTTTCTGATTTTTGGAACAAACACTAGAGCAGCAATATTTCTTCCGTTTTGTTATTATGTTCCTCCTGACAAACAACGAATTCAGGAAGAACCAATCTGCATCTTATAAGAAATAATTTTTTTATTATGATATCGAAAAAATTTATGCGTTTGAAAAGTTATGAAATTTGATCTACATTAGACAACAAATATATATGTAGTCCCATGACCCAAATATTTCATCATTTTGGGGAGTATGTCATTTATGCATTCATTTATGTATTTACCTTTTTTATATTATCATTTTATATGTTATTACTAAGGAAGTATCACTGTTCCAATTTATTTTTGACCGGGATTAGAAAATATTCGGATTATTTTTTATTAAAA